TTTTGTTCGTCTCTAAATACTTCTTTATATAAGGGGGAGTGACCCAATGTGGCATGCCACCGTCTTAATACTAATAAAATCGTGAAGCTGGCCATACGAAAAAAAAAAACGAATGCCCGATCAGGAGCAAACTTTGGAATAAAGTGTCCGAGCTGATTAACAACAATTATTACGTGGACATCACCTGAAAAATAAAAAGAACAAAAAAATGAGGTAGAAAGGGGATGAGAGATGGTGAAATGATAAAAAAAACTTTATACAAGTATATAAAGTTATTATATGATGTTGACAAGATAATTTTTGTAATTTTTTCTATAATGTTAGAAAGTTAAGTGAAATGAATTTGTATGAACAAGGAATGAAGAGATTTTTTTTTTTTTTTTGATTGAGAAATGAACATAAAAATAAATAGTGCATTGGAGATCTAAGTGCAAGACGCCTTCTCTAATTTCACATAATATTATTTTCAACTATGCATGTTTGCATTCAATTTTTTTTTAAAAAAAAATACAACATTTTAACTCAATCGTTTTTTTTAACTCAACTCTGACTCAACCACACTATCATCAATATTATCAATATAATTAAATAATATCGATCAATCATTCATACACATCATATCAACCTTAATTCACTATTCATTCACTCACGTTATTTTAACTAACATTACTTCAAGTTATCTCTCTCATACCTTTACATCAAATCAATTTTAATTATTTTACTTTAAATATTGTTTTAATATGCTCACTGGCAACAAACCATACCACTTTTTTTTCAAAATTAACCAAACCAAACTAAAAAATCTAACAACACAAAAAAAAAAAAAAAAAAAATTGGAAAATGCTCCTTCCCCCGTCTAGTTCCCAATTTTTATACTACTCACTGACAACTGTACATTAACAGTTATTGCACAATCATTACTCTTATTTTACATTATTGAAAGAAAATAGATGATTCCAATAGAAAGTCAACTATATATCTCTCCTCTTATTTTGTTCTTCCCCAAATTTTCTAGCCCTAAGGATATTTTTTCGACTACCAATTTCTCGTTCTTCGTTCACAGCCACCGTTTTTCTCGGTTTTTTTTGTTGATTTTTTTATTGCGGGCCTGATTTCCCAGCCTCAGTATCACGTTCTTCCTCAAATATATTTCCCTAGGGATATCGAATTGAATGTCGTAGTTTTACCTGCACGAGTTGCCGTGAAAATTTCAGACTCCGACCAATAGGTTTTCACAAGAAAACACCTGCTTATACATCTTCTTCTTAGCATCAGCCGTCTCGACAACAATTCGGACGAAAAAATATTTCAAAACCCAGAGGCTCTGCTTGCACTTGACGACAGACCCGATGTAGGTGTTGGACCAGAGGAGGATGTGGTGGTGCTGCGTGCACTTCTGATACGTCTCCTTGATGGTCTTTTTGGGTTCGGGCTTTGAAGGGATGTTCGGGCCGCGGGGTTTAATAAGAGTTGATTTTTAATTAACTCACTTTAAAAATGGCTAAATGGCGGGAATTAACACGACCTTTACGCGTTTGGCAATTTAATCACGACCTTCAAACCTTGTCAGAAAAATACATGACCTTTACAATTTTGGCAACCCGATACATACTTCTAACTGCCGTCAACGGAAGTATGATGTGGCAATTTAACTTGACGGAAACACCAAACGGGCGTCCGAGTCAGCTTCCAGGTGGCAATAACCATAGTATAAAAGACGCTTCTTCCCCAAATTGACCATAATCGTTCATTTTTCCCCAAATTCACCACAATTCGTTTTGCCCTAACCCTAATTCACCCCAATTTGCCCCGAAATGTCGTCATCTTCTAGCTCAGATTCAAGGAGATTGAAATCAGTATGTTTCCATGGAGACGAAGCAGTTATATTCACGTCAAATACCGACCTCAATCCTTGTCGTCGATTCCGACGTTGCCGCAACATACAGGTGACTGCGATTTCGTTTTGCAATTTTGTTTTTTATTTAGTTTCGTGTCGATATGACTACAATCGTGCCGCTGTGAGTGCAATTTGGCTTTGTTTTTGTAATTTCATGTGTGGCCGTTCTGATATGAAATGCTGAGTTCAATTTCAAATGACGAGTTCAATTTGATGAAATGAACACAGAAAAACGAGTGGAATTTGAAATTTCAGTTTATCATATGAGATGAAAATTGAAAATTTTTGCCTTAGTTTTATGGTTTTTCAGTTATTGTGTTTTGTTCTAATTCTAATCCTTGCTTATCTGTATAAGAATGCATGTACATACTTTTCTTGGGTAGATCCGGAGCTTGGACCATTTCAGAAATCATGCTTTCTGAAACTGAAGGCTGAGAAGGCATTATTGGAGGAGCAATTAAAATGCAGAGATGTTACTGAAGTAGCATTGGTTGAGAGGCTGAAAATGAAGGAAGATGAACTATTGTATCTTAAATCCAAAGTAAATGAGTTGGAGGAGCAAGTACAAGTCTTGTCCAAGAGAAACAGATTCAGATATCCTATTGTGTGTGTGTCAGTTGTGTTATTTGTTGTTTTGCTTTTGTTCTTTGGTAAAGAGGAAAATGGTTGACAACCTTCTGTACAAGACTTGTCCAATAGAACCAATTATGATGAACTTGGTGTAGGACAACCTTTTGTTAAGGAAATTGCAATGTATGTTGTTATCTGAATTTAAGTGTATGTTGCCTTTTTGTAACTTCATTTCGGTTGTTAATGAAATTTTATATTGAATCAGTTTATGTTTTTGTGTAAGTTCATTTTAGTGTATGTTGGTGTCATATGCACAAAAATCCTATAAGCCAAACAAATGTGGTACATTCAATCATCAGCACATAACAATATGCACAAGCATCTTAAATACCAAACAACCTCAACAAACACCAACTGAAGCCATGTTAAAAACAAAAGTCTTGTTGCCATCCTTATAAAATCAAAAGTCATATCCAATCCAAATTCCACAACCAAAACATCAAATCCAAATCCAAATCTAAATTTAGATAATACATTGCTAACAACTGCAGCTCCAATCCCACATCAAACCAGAAAACATGAAAAAACACAGTAGTTCACAACATACATCGCCCAAAACCCAAACAACAGTAGTTCACAACATACATCCCCATGACAACTAACAAGGGTTAAAATTACACACACTCTCTTGTGTCCCCTGATCTCTTGGGCAATTCTTGGATGTTTGTTTCTTTTGTCCAGGTGATGATCCTGCTCTTCTGTTAGGTACAAAGTGAACTCTATTTTGCCCTGGCATCTGATTAAGAATTTGTGGGACAAAACAAATTAAGTTAATATCTGAAATATGCACTGCAATTGGTACAGGAAAAGTATATGGTAACAATGAAGCATACCCTCATATAAATGTCTCCTGTCTGCTCAGAGACCATCACACCAAATCCTTTATTGGCCTAAACAAGCAAAGACACAAATAAGTTAATAAACTGATATTATGCTTTATGTAAGAAAATAATAGCTTTTACCATTGCTCTGTCTTTTGCCCTAATAGCTTGCACAGGTTGAGAAGATTGTCCAACACTCCTGATTCTAGAACTCCTTCTTGTTTGTTGCATAGCAGCTATGGCTGATCTAGTAGTTGGGGCTGTTCTTGTGGCTGAAGCTGCTCTTGTGACCTTGGTTGCTCTTGTGCTTGTGGTTGCTTTTGTGGATGGGGCTTGTGTTGGTGGTGCTGTTGGGGCTTGTGTTTGTGGTGCTTTTGTTGGTGCTCTTAGGGATTCTATTGGGGCTGGTGTTGGGACTGGTGGTGGGTTGGTTGATGTTGAGTTTGTTGGTGTTGGGATTGTTGGTGTTGGGACTGCTGGTGTTGGTGTGACAGTCCAATCTTTTGCAGAAGACTCCACATGTTGCTCCCTTGTACTTGGTCTCCCTCTTTTTTTTCTACAATTTATCAACAAGGATATGAACAGAATGCATTATAAAAGTTTATAAATAAGCAAAAACAATTAAACTTACTCTTGTCTGTGCAGGAGCAGCTTCATTGGGGCAAGTCCTGATGTTATGCCCAATTTTCTTGCATTTTTGGCAAGTCATTTGTAGTCCAAATCTCCTCAGCTTAGTGTCACTCTTGGCCTCTTCTTCAGGAGCTTTTCTCCTTTTTTTATTTTAGGTTTACCAGGCATCTTTTTAAATGGAGGTGGCTTCACAGTGGACCCAGATGCTTCAGGCCACATTTTAGGCCCATTTAATGGTTCAAGACTAAAAGAGTATGCTTTCAAATTTCTTTCTACACTGAAGTATGGGCTGACAAAGTCCACTACATCCCTCTTCATGTACTGAATTGCAGAACAAGCATGGATACATGGTATACCAGATATATCCCAGCTTCTACAACTACATGTCATGCACTTCAAATCAACCACAAACTGATCATCTGATATGGCAACTTGAAATTTTTCACCCACTGCAGGTTTTGTCACACACAACCTACTTCTCAACTTATTTTCCTCAATTTTTTTCCTTATCCTAGGACATATTGTGTCATTCAGTCCACTAGTCAACATTAGTTTGTGATGCTGCCTTTCCATTACATAAGTTCTAATACTCTCAAGCATTTCAACAATTGGTTTTTTTCTTGCCTTCACTATGGTACTGTTGAAAGTTTCACATACATTATTAAGTATCATATCACATTTTGGATTCTCAAGGATAAAGGCTTTACAGAACCTGAAATTTTCCATGCCCATGAAATCATCATAAGCCTCCTTAGCCACTGCCTTCATCCCTTCAAGTGCTTCCTTATATTCTGCCTTGTGTGTGCTATGCACTACCCTCCAGAAACAGCTCTTCAGTGCACTGTCTTTGTGTGATTTCTTCCAATTCATGTACACATGTCGTGCACAATTTCTATGTTCTGCATGTGGTGAGAGGTCCCTTATAGCAGCAATGAGTCCCTACACAATGAGATAAGTCAGAACATATATTAAAGATAAGCCAAACAACCAAATATATTAGTGCACATATTGAAAGAACTAACCTTTTGCTGATCACTGATAAATGTCCATCCAAGTCCATATGATATCCCCAAATCTTGAAAAAGTATGTCTAGAAACCATTTCCAAGTGCTCTCATTCTCAGAATCCACAACTGCCCATGCCAAAGGAAATATCTGGTTGTTTCCATCCTTCCCAACAGCACACAATAATACACCTCCTAAAAAGGTCTTCAAGAAAGCCCCATCAAGGCTAATAATTGGCCTACAGCCTTGCAAGAAACCTTGTCTTAGTGCACTAAAACCTACATAAAAACATTTGAATACACTGCCACTCTCCAATTTCAGCTAAAATGTGCCATTTCTATCAACCCTTTGGCCTACAGCCTTGTAAGAAACCTTGTCTTAGTGCACTAAAACCTACAAAACTTATGTTGCAGCCATTATAAATTGCATAATTCTGAACTGCCTTCCTACATTGCCCAATGGTTTCAAATCTCATCCCAAGCTGAAATTGGAAGGTCTGCAGATCTCCTTTTCCATCATAAACTATTTTTTTCTTCTTAGGCCTTGCTTCATCATCATCATCACCAAGACCATCACCACTAGATGAATCAGTGTTGACATTCCCTTCAGAATCTTCATATTCTGACTCATTATCTCTTGTAGGTATATTGTTGTCATCAGCCTCATGATGTGAAGATGGTTGTGCAAATGACATGTTTGCATCTCCATCATCTGTTGACTGTCTGGAGTTCAAAGCTTCTCTCCTAGCCTGAAGATACTCCTCATCATCTGTCCCTAAATCTTCATCAGACAAACCATCATTACTTGAAGATTCACCAGATGGTTCATACTCCTCATCCTCACTTTCATCTAAAGCAAACTCACCCAACTTTTCACTAGTATCCTTTGCTTGGTGTACTTCAGCAACTTCAGATACCCTATTCATATTTGACTTTTCTTGTTGACAAACAACAGCAACTTCAGGTACCCTATTCCTATTTGACTTTTCTTGTTGACAAACAGCAGCAACTTCAGAAACCACAGACGGTTTGTTCAGTTGTTCAGTTTGCACAAATATTTCAACATATCTTCTGTTTCTCTGCATTTGACCCAAACATGCCATAACACCAGCATCATCTTTTATATCCTGAAACTCATGTGTTGTCCGATGCTTATAACATATTCTACCCCAGTTTTCATATCCCAGCTTCTTTATTTGATCTTCGATGTCAAAATAACCTAGCCTATCTGCATCCAACCCAGTAACCGTGGCAACAAAATCACCATAATAATACTCATGCCCTTCGAGAGTGACAAATCTACCCTTGTGATTGATGAATAACATAAAGAAATCACTGCAAATTGAAAAAATCGAAAATTTTTACCAATTCGAACCCTAAAAAAACTAAAATCAATTGAACATTTCAACTCTGAAAAGGCATTTACCTTGCGACCATGATGTTAACAAGTTCTTGTGTATGCTCACGATAATCGTCACGAACATATGGAAGACACACCCTTGTAATTTTGGAGAAAATAAAAAACCTAGGGTTTGGAAATGAAAAATCGGGAAGGGAATTTGGGAAAAAATGAACGATTGCGGTGAATTTGGGGAAGAAGCGTCTTTTATACTAGGGTTATTGCCACCTGGAAGCTGACTCGGACGCCCGTTTGGTGTTTTTCGTTAAGTTAAATTGCCACATCACACTTCCGTTGACGGCAGTTAGAAGTATGTATTGGGTTGCCAAAATTGTAAAGGTCATGTATTTTTCTGACAAGGTTTGAATGTCGTGATTAAATTGCTAAACGCGTAAAGGTCGTGTTAATTTCCGCCATTTTGCCCTTTAAAAATCTGCTTTTCCTAGGGCCGAATAATAAGGAAAAAACTGACAGGTCAAAAGCCACATCAAGGAGTGATTTCATGCGGTATAACTTGACGGGGCCTGTAGCGGTATTGAAAAATTTATATCCAACCATGCTTACATACATTTTGTATTGTACATTTGTACAACATTTATTACTTCGTATGTGAATAAATTAGCAACACCTTTTTTTTTTTTTAAAAACACCCAGTAGGGTGGGGGTTAGGCCGGATCCCCAACCTTTATATATAAAAAGGCCCTAAATGGGCTGAAAAGTAAAAAATCTGCAAGACCAAGTCTGAAATACATGAAGTCAAACGAAAAACAAAACCAGAAACAAGAAAGAAAATAAGGAAAAGCTGGCAACACGAGCCAGTAATACAAAGATAACAATTTCTGGTCCGGGAAGAGTCCAGACGAAAAGTCAGCGTTACTGGAGAGCAGATGCACCAAAAGGTAGGACCGACTACACAAATCTGAATGAAGAGTATCCCATCTAGTCCATTCGTATAAGGGTACGGAGGAAGAGAGGAATATCATCAGGATAAAGTATGCGCCTTTGGGGTGGAGGACCCGATGTCTGCGAGGAAGTCAACAGGATGATTCCCCTCGCCGGAAGATGTGCGAGATCTGAAAGCGAATCGACAGAAGTGTGACCCTAATACAAATAAGAGTATGCTGAATCTGTCATACACCCTAATGGCCAAAAAGTCAAGAGAGTGATGACAACGACCACGTATCCAATCAACAACAACTTTACCTTTACAAATTCCAACTTACCTTTTTCCTTAAAAAAAAAAAAAATTCTATCTTCCCCTTTCCTTTATCCCTTTGCTTTTTTTTTTTTTTCTTCATTTTTCGGTAATACTTTTCCACGAGGCCATGGATTGTACCGCATACGGAGTCATATGTACGACAAGTGTAGGTATTGTGAATAAAATGCACAACCCACAAGGCCACAAACCCCATTCACAGTTCACTGCTCTCTCTCTGCTGTGCGTACTCTCTCGCTTTCTCTCTCTGAAATCCCTTCTTTCCATCTCCTCTCACTAAATTCACTGTGTGCAGCTCCGGTTTTCAGGGCTCTTGTGTCAACACTGCTATTTTTTTTTTTTGTCAGGCTTCGATTTTCTTACATAGTAGTGTGGGTTGAAGTTCTTGTTTGATGAATTAATTCCACCCCCCGCCGTTTCATGCAATTTCGTTTACATTGCGTGCTTGCTTTTGTTTAATGCTTTGCGGTTTCTCTGTAGAAATCTGTTCCGATTCTCGTATACATTTTGCAGATAGAATGATCTTTCGTTGACAGCTTGTTTTTTGGCTTGTTTTTTGAACAGCTTTGTACGACGTTCGACCTTTTACGTCACGGCGGTGGTTCTTTAAGGTAACAAGAGAGGGTTTTGGATTTGGTTCACTTTTGCATTGTTTGTGCTGCCATTATTTCTTTCTTTTTCATGTTTTCCCATTTTGTTTGTTTGTTTTATTTTATTTCTCTGTTTTCCGTTTCGATATTACTATGCATGGCTGTTTCCTGACCAGATCTGTAATGTTTTAGGATCAAATAATGCTTGGGTTTTTTCGGTTAAGTTTGGTGTTTTTGCTAATACTTTCAAATTATTCATAGTTTTTCAGATTTCAGCTGAAGGATTTGCTCTTATTCTCTCCTTTTTTATCCTATGAGTGTGTTACTATTTTACCTGAAAAGAAGTGCCATATTTCATAATTTTTCTATAGTTGTATTTTGAACGTTCTTTTCTTGTTCTCCTGTTCCAGAAATTTAACAAGCACAGCATGAGTTGGAGTCTTGGACTCTGCCTCTGTGTCGTTTATCTCTTTCGATGGCTGGCTCTTTCTGTGCAGCTGTTCCTAGTACTATTTTTTCTCCTCAAGAGTGTTGCCTAGTTATATGTCCTGCACGTTTGACTACAATCACAATATTACATGTAACTTGTTTTATGTCTTTCGTTGGCCTAGATTAAATGATGTGTTCTTAATTTATCTGATATTTAACTTGTAATAGTTACTACTTTTGGTTAGATGTTACTAAATGCATCTATGTTTGCTTATTCATCTGCAAGTGATCTATTTTCCTTCTATAGAAATAAATGATTTTGGTTGTGTGGATTTATGTGGATTTTTTTCTTTTTTTATATGCATATGAGATATTGTTGAGCTATTTACTGCATTATTTCGGAAGCCCTTTTCATTTGGGAATTATTTGAGTCCGTAAGAAGTTTTTCTCTGTGGATTTGTTGAGCCTAGTAGCACCATTTTATGAGTTTTTTTACGATTATTTTGTCGATAACATTTGAATTTTCAGACCAAAGTAAATAGTATGTGCTATATTTCATTGGTTATGAGTGTCTACTTGCTTGCATTTGAGAATAGTGCTCCTTTCTATTTCTAAGTGACTGCAATATAGTTGCACAATCAGCTTCCTTGCTTTTCCGTGTTCTGTCGTGATGGCTGTATAGAGAAATTTATGATTTTTCTTCTTTTGTGGATTCTGGAAGCTATTTTTGTAGAATCATAAAATTCCAGAAACTTTCATGTGTATTTCGTGTTACACTGCCTATAAATCTCTAGCCGTTCTGTATTTCAGAATTACTTGAAGAGGTTTCAAAATGGATTTCAATGAACAAGAACGCAATGGGGCTACGGAAGCACTCCCTCCTCCGCCTCCTGTTCCTCCAAATGTTACTCCCATAAAAGTTGATTCTGAACCGGAAGCGAAAAAGGTCTTGCGGGTCCCGATGGCCCGGCGTGGTTTTGGGACCAAGGGAAACAAGGTTCCCATCCTCACCAATCACTTCAGGGTGAACGTGAACAAGGTCGATGGGCATTTCTACCATTACAGTGTATGTGGCAGATACCTTCATCACGTTTTCCCATCCTGCATAACATTTTCTTTTTTTGATCTTGTTCACTAAATTACCCTGGATTTTCTTAAATTACTAAATTACTCCGTAAGCATATCTTCCCCAATTCGCTCCTTTCTGTGGGGATTATTTCAGGTAATATGAAAGTCAAAGGTTCAATAGTGTCTCTTTTGTAGTCACGTATCAGGATGAGTAATTTTTTAAATGTCCAGGTAAGTTGTGGTTGGCTAATTTTTATAATATTGTTTGACTGTTATTTTGTAGGTGGCTCTTTCCTATGAAGATGGCCGCCCGGTTGACGCCAAAGGTGTAGGTAGGAAAGTTCTTGACCGTGTCCATGAGACTTACGACACAGAATTGGATGGAAAACATTTTGCCTATGATGGTGAGAAAAGCTTATTCACTGTGGGCCCGCTACCTCGGAACAAGCTTGAGTTTACCATTGTGCTTGACAGTGTTTCGTCTAGTAGGTATGTATGGTGTGTGTAATTTATTACCTTTATCTCAATAGTAGTGTTGCATATTTGCTGTAGCTGAATTGAGCCAAAAATTGTAGCCCATAATCCTTCTACTAAAATATCATGGATTAAATTATATAACTGTAATACTGTTGTTTATCTATAAAATTTGGGGTGGGGAGTAATGGAAGTAATGTATTAGGGTGACAATGATTTCTAATGCAAAAACATTGTGCTAGTATTATATATGAAACTATACGAAAATTTCATTCGGATCTACTGTTTGTTTTGGCTGGTTATTGAATTTTTGCATCACATCATTTACTGGTTCATTTATCTCTTCATACTTGTGCATTGGTTTTATCCAGGAATAATGGAAATTCCAGCCCTGGAGGACACGAAGGCTCTAATGAGAGTGACAAGAAAAGGATAAGGCGCCCTTACCAATCAAAAACATTCAAAGTGGAGATCAGTTATGCAGCTAAGATTCCGATACAGGCCATTACAAATGCTATGCGAGGCCAGGAATCTGAAAATTCACAGGAGGCTATACGGGTCCTGGATATTATTTTGAGGCAGCATGCTGCAAAGCAGTAAGTCATGTGAATGAAATATTTGACTGAGTTTGTAGTAGGGCTTTGATTGCTCTTGAGATTTTTTCAGAATTCTTTTGTAGTATGCAAACCATCATTCATTTATTTCTTTATAAATGCATTACATCAACTAGTTTATTGCATTCTCTTATTTCCCATTTAAAATATAACTAATAATTTTACTTTTGTTAATGCATTTACATCTCATACCTGATTACACATAAAATTCGTTCGAGTTCCTAAGAAGTTTCAATTAGTGATGGAAAATAAGTAAAAGCAATTTAGTTCTAATCATTCTTCATTTCAGGGGTTGTTTGCTTGTTCGTCAATCTTTTTTTCACAATGACCCCAAGAACTTTGCTGATGTTGGAGGTGGTGTTCTTGGCTGCCGAGGTTTTCATTCAAGCTTCAGGACGACCCACAGTGGCTTATCCTTGAACATTGGTAACATTTTTCTTATCATTATTAGCTTTTCATTTTTTGTTATTGTTAAATATAACTCATTGAGAATTTCTTGAATACTTGTAGATGTATCCACTACTATGATTATCCAGCCTGGGCCTGTAGCTGATTTTCTGGTTGCTAATCAGAATGTGAAAGATCCCTTCTCCGTTGACTGGGCAAAGGTTTCAAAGCAGCCTTTTCACAATTTTGTTTTTGGATGAATTGAGAATGTTCTTTTCTCTCCTTTTCTTTTTCTTCTTTTCTTTTCACTTTTTTCTGTTAAGGATTCACGATTACTAATCAAATCACAACAGGCCAAACGCACCCTGAAGAATTTGAGGGTGAAGACTAGTCCTACCAACCAGGAGCACAAAATCACTGGATTAAGTGAGAAAAGTTGCAGAGAACAGACGTATGGCCCAGTTTTGCTTTTTTCTTTTGCCTACCATTTGAAACTGGCCCATTATTACCAGTCTCTCTCTCTCTCTCTCGCACCTGGTTTGGATTTAATTTAGTTGCTTTCTGCGAAAATTTTGTAGGTTCACGCTGAAGTCGAAGAACAAGGACGAGGAAGGTGAAGAAGTGACTGTCTATGACTACTTTGTCAAACAACGCAACATTAATTTGCGGTATTCTGCTGATTTGCCGTGCATTAATGTTGGGAAACCGAAACGACCAACGTACTTCCCAGTCGAGGTGAACTGTCTATTATATATCACCTTTTGTTTAAGAATGCTATCTGACGTTTTTTATTGACATGTATTAGTTGTGCTCTTTGGTGTCTTTACAACGTTACACAAAAGCTATCTCAACCTTCCAAAGAGCATCACTCGTGGAGAAATCACGTCAAAAACCGCAAGAGAGGATGGCAGTTCTGAGTAATGTATGACTTACATTCTCTCTCGTTTCAGTTTTCTTCTGCTGTTGTGTATTGAACTGCTTCTGGTTGGCAGTTCTGAGTAATGTATGACTTACATTCTCCCTCGTTTCAGTTTTCTTCTGCTGTTGTGTATTGAACTGCTTCTGGTTTGTGGCAGGCTTTGAAAATCAATAATTACGATGCCGAGCCTATGCTACGATCTTGTGGCGTGTCCATTAACAACAGCTTCACCCAGGTTGAAGGGCGTATCCTGCCAACACCAAAGGTATTTATGTTTCTAGGATATGAGTGTATTGTATATCTTCCAGAACTCTTGTGTATGGAACTTTTGTGATGGGTTGAAAAGCTGTTGCTGATTTTTTTTTGTTACATGCTCTGTTGCAGCTTAAAGTTGGTAATGGTGAAGATCTGTTTGCTCGGAACGGAAGGTGGAACTTCAACAATAAGGTCTCTTCATAAAACGTTTTACACTGTGATTGTAGCCCATGCTAAATTGTCCCCATGTATGTTTTCGCTGAAACGATTGAATGTGTACTTGGCACAGAAACTTGTTGATGCAAGTAAGATTGAGAAATGGGCTGTTGTAAACTTCTCGGCTCGATGTGATGTTCGTAACCTGGTCAATGAGTTGATGAAAGTTGGTCAAATGAAAGGAGTTGTATGTTCTCTGACATCCTTTGTTCTCTATTATTCTCCATATGTATCTAAGGATATAACTGCAAAAAGTATCCTCAAGAATTGTCAAATAAAAAACACCAAGTTATCTCCCCGAAGTATTAACGCTTGTTGATTTCCTTGTTCTCCCAATATCTAAGGGAGTATATTCAATTTCGACAGTCAAATGTATTTTTCATTGTTAGGTTGCGTTGCAGGGATTGTTTCCTTGTTTACGAGTGAATTATGCTGATCCTTTCTGTTTCAGAGTGTTGAAGCTCCATTCGACGTTTTCGAGGAGAATCCTCAGTTCAGACGGGCTCCGCCCACTGTTAGGGTGGAGAAGATGTTTGAGGAAATACAATCAAAACTTCCCGGTCCACCAAAGTTCCTTCTGTGCTTGCTCCCAGAGCGGAAAAACTGCGATGTTTACGGTATTTGTGAAAATCAATAATCAATACCCCAACTTCAATTAAAGATCAATCGTATTAGACATTTAACTCAAAATATACTATACTTGTAAGGTCCCTGGAAGAGGAAGAACTTGTCTGATTTTGGAGTCGTTACCCAATGCCTGTCCCCTGGACGTGTAAATGACCAGTATTTGACCAATCTCTTGCTGAAGATCAATGCCAAGGTTAGTCAGACTCAGACCCCTAAAATTTAGAATGTCTTGCTTTATAATATTGTTGGTTCTGTAATGTTTTTTCGCATCCTGTTCCTGGCAGCTTGGAGGTCTGAACTCCATGCTGGCTGCTGAGTTGTCGCCATCGATTCCTGTGATATCGAAGTCTCCCACTTTAATTTTGGGGATGGATGTGTCTCATGGCTCGCCTGCACAGTCTGATATTCCGTCTATCGCTGCAGTATGTGTCTATATATATATATATATATATATATATATATATATATATATCATAACAGTGAAAGTGATTTAAATTTTCCCTTTCTTTTGGTTTGATTTTGCTTCGAGGGCATTTTTGTTATTTTTGCGAAGTTAGTAAAGCTGTGAGAGCCTGAGTTTGGCTGCTATGACCAGCTTTGTGTTTGTCTGATTCTGCACTTTCTTTTGATCAATTGATCAGGTTGTTAGCTCGAGGCAGTGGCCCTCGATTTCTCGCTACCGAGCTTGTGTCCGTACTCAGTCCCCGAAAGTTGAAATGATCGACTCGCTTTACAAGCGTGTGTCGGACACTGAGGATGATGGCATTATTAGGTAATATTTTTGGATTGAAAAAGTGTGCTATCAAATTCAGTCATGTTTTTACAGCTTCTGACTTCTGAAGTTTGTTATGTTGTTTATAAAAGAATCAATGTAATTTCTTTTAGATGTTTGATGGAAATGTCTTCTCCATTGAATGCAGGGAACTTCTGATTGATTTTTACACTAGTTCGCAGAAAAGAAAGCCTGACCAAATTATAATCTTCAGGTAGCGTCCGAAGCCAATTATTTTTTGTAATTATCAGTTTGGATGATGAAATATTTATTATTATCTTGATTTCTTTTTTAATCTTATATGCAGTCTGATATTATCGGTTATCAAATATTTCTGAACCCTCATTCTGTGAATTTTCAGAGACGGTGTTAGTGAGTCCCAGTTCAATCAAGTGCTGAACATCGAACTAAACCAGATCATTGAGGTTTTTATCTGACCTGTATATTTATATACATCTGAACTATTCATTTATGATTTTATTATCCTCTTCTTTGTTTTCTTTATTGAGGTATTTTTTTTACCATTTTAATTAAGGCCTGCAAATTCCTTGACGAGAAATGGTCACCCAAGTTTGTGGTCATCATTGCTCAGAAGAATCACCACACGAAATTTTTTCAGCCAAATGCTCCTGAAATGTGCAGCCAGGTGATCACAACTTGTTTCCTCAGTATTTATTTATTTATATATTCAGTATTTTGTCATTTAGAACTAATGAAAGAGATGTGTAGATATTTTACGTCTCTGATTTTTGTACAGGAACAATAATTGATAACAAGGTTTGTCATCCCAAGAACAATGACTTCTACTTGTGTGCACATGCTGGGATGATTGTAAGTCCTTCATTTCTATTGAGTCTCGTTTTACTCTTGTTTTACCCTTTAGCGCAGAATAAACTCATTTGTCATCTTATTTTATACTACAGGGGACCACAAGACCCACCCATTATCATGTCCTGCTAGATGAGATTGGTTTTGCCGCAGATGATCTTCAGGAACTTGTGCATTCCTTGTCGTATGTGTAAGTGGCATAGTTAATTAATATGGTCTATGTTTTAGCTACACTAGTTTAAGTTTTCAAATTTCTCAACTCTCTTCCTGATTTTTTTCGCATTATCTTGACTGGCAGGTACCAGCGTAGCACCACTGCTATTTCAGTTGGTAATTGATCGTCTTGTTAATATCTTTTGCCGGTTAATTATAAAAATTGAGTAGTTGGTAACGTTTTTTTT